AGTTTCACAAAACTCCTAACAGTCTAGCATTGTCTCAATCTCATTACATTCAAAAGGTACTTGAAAAATTCAAGTATTTGAATTTCAAAAAGATAAACACCCCAATTGATGCGAACCTTAATCTTGCAAAGAATAAAGGTGAAAGTCAGTCTCAATTGGATTATGCCAGAGTATTGGGAAATTTGATGTGTGTCATGAATTGTACACGACCAGACATAGCTTGGCTATAAGTAAACTGAGTCGATACACAATTAATCCCAATCAAAATCATTGGATGGCAATGAAGAGAGTTTTGGGGTACTTAGATGACACTCAAAACTATGTTTTGCATTACAAAAAATATCCAGCAATTCTTGAAGGATATAGTGATGCAAATTGGATTACTGGGTCAACTGGAATGAAATCCACGAGTGGATATGTTTTCACTATTGGTGGAGGAGCAATATCTTGGAAATCATCCAAACAAACTTGTATAGCTCGCTCTACAATGGATTCTGAATTCATCTCCTTAGACAAGGCAGGTGAAGAAGCTGAATGGCTCCAGAATTTCTTAGAAGATATTTCATTTTGGCCCAAACCAATTGCCCCTATATGCATACACTGTGATAGTAAAGCTGCAATAGGAAGGGCTGGAAGCGTTATGTATAGCGGGAAGTCTCGTCACATAAGATGAAGACATAACTCTGTTAGACAACTACTCTATAGTGGAATTATCACAATTGACTATGCAAAGTCTAAGGATAATGTGTCGGATCCACTTACAAAAGGCCTAACTAGAGAGGGAATTGAGAGATCATTGACGGGAATGGGACTATGGCCGAGAACAAGTCATCGTGGCGGCAACTCTACCTAGAAGACTGGAGATCCCAAGATCTAGGTTCAAGGAGATAAAACAAAGTCATAGATGACGGTTCAACATTGTCAAAAATTATTATATGGTCCATTCTCATGATGAGACAATGTTCAGTAACTAGGATAAAGGCATAAGGACTTTTTAATGGTTTCTAAGTTTGATACATGGTATATCAAATAGTGTATCTACGAGATAACACATTTAGAAACCACCTATGTAAGTGTGAAGTGTAAGCCGCTTCAAGGAGAATCCGGTAAGGCCAGTTCTCTGAGCACTTATTAATCGAGATACGCTCATGGCTGAAATGAACAAAATAATGAGAACCAAAAATAGTTCAAGGGTTGATTGTATGACTTATGTTGTCTAGGTATAGACCAAAGCTCGACGGTTTAAAGATATCAAATCTATTGATTCACCGAGTATATCTGATTTATGTTCACTATGGAAAGTTTAAAGGGAAACCTATTTATCGAGATGTGATTAACCCTTACTTACGAGACACACAAGTTTTTCATGCATATGTTTTAACAATAGTCATTCCCCATTCATGTGGAGGATTGTTGGGTTTTAGCAAGGTGTGAATTGGAAATAAGAAGAGAAAATGAAAAAGTGGGGGAACCAATTTTGGAGGGAAAATGAAAAGTCATTGCAAAGTGCAAATGAAAAGTCATTTCTTCCATATTGGTAGAAGAAAGAAAATTGGTGTCCTTATATTAGGAAACACTTCCTTTAGTTCTTAAAGGGTTAAGAAGAAGGTTCCCCCTCGCGCCGTCGTCGTCGCTCGGTCGGCTTCGACTTCCGATTCGGTAAATGATGTGATTGATTGATAATATTTGTGGACAAAATTTATTTAATAAATCTTGTTAATCGATTTCCTTTCTCTTATAAATTAAATCAGAATATTAGTTAAATAACATAATTAATTTGGCGCAATAAAATTTATTTGAAATTCACGTGTAACGATAAGAACGTTCTGAAGGGACCTGTTCCTTCCAAAAAGTCGTTACTTTTCCCAAAAGATACAACATTTTGGAAAAAATGGGTTTGAACAGATTTGTTTGAACAGACGCGTTCCTTGCTGCAAATGGCTATAAATAAGAGGTTTTTTTTTCAGTTTTCAAACATTGAAAAATTTTCCTCTCTGCATACATTTTCTTACATAAATAAAATTGTCGATCGACTGAGTTTGTGTGTGCTCTCATTGTAGTTCTTGCGTTCGCTGAAATTATTGAAGTTTGAGGTACCGCTACTTCTCTAATAGGTTAATCTGTTTTATCTTGGAAGGAATTAATCTGCAACCTCGGGTACAGTGAGGGGATACAATTTCTTAAGGAAACACAGTTGTTTCTGTGGACTCGGATTACTTACATTCTATCTATTTCATCTATTTTCTGTTTCTGTATTTTTGACTAACCTGAATAAGAAAAGGATAACACTCATAAAATATGCTAACTACTAATACTCAAGATTAAACTAGATAAAACCGAAAGCAAGGACGTCTCACCAAGGCTTGATGAAAGTGATCCTACTAATGTGTCTTATGACTATCGTGAATACCTGAATCTACATTATCAAATAATGCAACGCCGAATGATGTATGTACATGGAACGTATGGTATGTGAAATGTCTGAATGAAATAACTAGTTAAATCTGAGCATACTGAGCTAAATGAAGAACCTCCTGAAACAAAAAACAACTAGATAATAAAACATACATGTGTACTTTAACAACAAATTTGACTCGTCTAATAGTTAAATCTGAGCATACTGAGCTAAATGAAGAACCTCCAGAAACAAAAATCAACTAGATAATAAAACATACATGTGTACTTAACAACAAATCTGACTCGTGGTTGCCGGGAGATTTTGGGGCCGTATTATCAAAGTACAAGTCGTAGTAATGATACCACAAGTCATAATCTAACTCATAGTGCTTTGGACTGAAATTTTCAAATTGAAGTGTCTCTAGTAAAACGATCATAACTATAATATTTACTCGTGATCTGGATTCAAGAACGGTTATGGAGTTTGAAAGAAGACTTAAAGACATTTAATTTAATAAGTAAAGGGACATAAAGTACTCTTCATATTCAAAGAAATATGGTCATTTGAAGTTTACTCTTGCATTGTCTTATGCAAAAGCTTAATCGGTAGAGAATAATTGAGCTTAACTATTTGCTAGAGGTTCCTTATGACTCTTGTATGCACCTAAAGTTTTGTTCATGAAATATAGCAAATAGGAAAGGAAAATAACAGGAAAATAATAGTATTTCTATTTGAATTTGTGCGATGTTACAATCTTTATGAGGTCTTTTAGAAAAGAGATGTAAATCCCCAATTCTTAACTTTACAATTGTTCTTGACTCAATGAAATACTTGTGGCTCAACACTTGGAGTGAAGACTTCTTTGTTGCGGAAGACTTGCAGATCACCGCTGAAGAGCAATGATTCTCTATGTATTTTCGTCTCCTTTTGGTTTTATATGAAGACCCCTTTATATAGGCATGAACTAGTGTTTTAGGGGTATTGTGGTCCAAGTAATTTAGAGGATCTTGGGCTTGAAGAATGTGAGTTGGGCTCTTCTTGTAAACTTAATGGAGTGACCCAAATATAATATTTGAACTTTATTCGAGTCATACCATTTTGACTTAAATATTAATCCAAATTTATTAACCAATAATTTGACTTGGTCAAAGTATCAAGAATTTATAATTTAATCAAATTTAATATGGATTTATCAATAAAAGTTCGCTGTCTACAACCTTAATTCACATCCAATACACTTTTCAAAATTAGGAATTGATCTTAACTTAGGAATTTTCGAAGTATTACACATGCATGTCTTGATAAAAGATATGTATCATAGAAAATATTATATGCTGAGAATACTAAAGGAAAAGATGCTCTTTCATTCAATTAAATTTTGCTTACCAAGTAATTCAGAAGCCTTTTTTAAAATCTATAAATTCCCAATTTACTGCCATAACTAATCAGCTCAACAAAATATTAAATAAAAACCTGTGATACAGTTTAAAGTATTTTCCACAAAGACATGATCTCCACAAGGCATACATAAAGAGATGTATCAAACGAATATTTTATTGAAGGAAATTGGACCGGGTCATCCATGTGGATCAACTCGGTTCAACTAAACGAGCTTCACCTCCAACTATTGCTCCTCATTCTGGCCAACCTCAGATATTCATTATACGGAAACTTGTGCAAACTATAGGGTTATGCCATAGATTTGCATGAAATTAGAGAAATGCTAAAGTTTACTTTTTTGTAATAAGGAAACCACAAACATACACTAAGAGACATGTTGTTCTTTTATCATTATATCTACCAAAGATTTACTACAAATAGTAAAAGGATTAGAACAGTAGAATGTTCTATCATACAAACATCCTTTAACAGATACATTAAAATCAATGAAAATCCTTTTGGTGGCGATATTTTGAAAATCTGTGGCGACTAATTTTGTCGCCGCTAAAGGCCTAGTCCTACTTGCCCACATTTAGGTGGAGGGATTAGTCTCATATGGCTTGCCACGTCACTAAAAATTTGGGTTGTTAAATCTTTGAGCATATTTGTGGTCTTTTGGGATAACAGTGGGGGCACTTTTTTCCCAAAATGTAATAGAGGGTATAAGTGGTCTATTTCACATAGTTCACGGGCAATTTTAACCCTTTTCTGTACATTTTATTAATGAACTTCATCTAAAAATATATAACATTGATAATATCTGATTTAAATGGCTAAATAAGGTAAATGATAAAAAAATTCACTTATTTTGTTTTGACTTCTAGAAGTCATCTAAAAGGATAATAATAGAAAGTAACATTTAATTTTTTTTCCTTAAATATTTTTCAAGAAGTCATTCAAAAGGATGATAACGGAAAGCAGCATTTAAATTTTTTTTCTTAAATATTTTTCAAGAAGTCATCCAACTTTATCTAGTCAATGTCTATAGTCATTTTGGATTGAAATAAAATTTCCGAAATCTTGGAGTCCACTGTATATGAAGGTCCAACCGACCATAACCCTCAAAACAAGCAAACCATTTTGTTCAAAGGAAATGCCAGTCATGGACGTCAAAAGTTCAGTTTGCAAAGGAAGTAGAATCTCTCATCATGTCACGAGAATTATGGATCTTCCATGGGTGATCATGATTGAAATTCTTTCAAGATTGCCAATCAAGCCCATTTTTCGATGTAGAGCTGTTTGTAAACTCTGGTATAGCCTTTTAACTTCCGACCCTTTGTTTTTTAACATGCATCAAACAAGATCCCTTAATTTCCCCAACATTTTATTTTTGGATGGTCAGTGCAATCCTTTGCTTCTAGAACTCTAAGCAGAGTACGATTATTATGTTCACCGCAGTGGAGGAACCGTTCAGGTGACCCCTAAGTTTCACTTCCATCCAAGGAGTGCGATTTTAGTTGGTTCTTGTAATGGATTTATCTGTTTGGTGGGTGGTTTGACGCACATTGAGAATCATTCGGTTTACATTAACAATCCTCTTTTTGGTGAGTATTTCAAACTTGAATTACCCAAATGGGAGATAAGTGTTACTCAAGTTGCATATGGGTTTTGCTTTAGCGAAGTCTCTAGAGAGTATAAAGTATTGAGATTAGTTGATAGAAAGGTTCAAGATGATATTAGAGCTTCAGAATTGGAGGTCTATACTCTTGGAGTTTATGAGAAATGGAGAAATGTGGGTGAAATTTTGTGTCCTGTATAGTATGATTTTGGAAAGGCTAATGTCAATGGTACTCTTCATTGGATGGATAGCGAAAAAACTGACAGCATTTACTGTTTCGATGTTGAGACAGAAAAGATCAAGTCCCTGCTTGCTCCACCTGGTTTGGAAACTCCATCCTCGAACTTGAGGCTAGCAGAGTTGGGGAACTGTCTGTGTTTGACTGATAATATCCACATATGGAATGTTAATATTAATATATGGTGGATGAAAGAGTATGGCATTGCAGAATCTTGGACTAAAAATAGCATTTTGGTGGAATCTATTCCGCGTGGTATGGTTAACTATAGTTTTGAACCTATATTTATTTGGAAAGATGGAGAAATCTTGTTCCAAAGTTGCTCAAAACTAGCTTGGTACAACCCAGAAATGAAGACGTTTAGGGTGGTTAATGTTGACAGTGATGTCATTGCATCAACTAAATACACTCCAAGCTTATATTCGCTCAAGACGGTCATGGGGGACGACTTTTAAGTCACAAACGTTTATTCGAAGACTGAGATAGTTTAGAGTAGTTTTTTTATCTTATTTCATTCGGGATATGATGTTTTGCTTTTGTACTTCTGATATAAACTTTTACTATTTTGTGGACGCTTTTGAATTCTCGATAGAGAAATATTAATAAGTAATTACTATTTTGTATTATGATATTTGATGAAATTGATGTTTTTTGGAAACAGATGGTGTAAGTTTTTCTTTTATATTGTTAATATTAAGGTAACTAGTATACATATCGAGCAATGCACAAATAATATTTAAATTAATCATTTCACATTGTGGTCTGATTTGTGAGAGCATTCTCAATTATATTGCATTAACTAAAATTTATCTGCCATCTTATTTCTAATTACAATTTATATACCCAATAACACTTTGGAATGAATGTTACTCATGTCTAAGTGAGTGTGTTTGCACAGGCAAATGAAGCATTTATTGAACCTAAGCTCCATTAAAAAAAAATTAGACTCTTCAATATTCTTTATAATTGGTAATAAGAACTATTAATTGATTTTCTAAGTAAGTTAATTTTTGCATAAATAATATATACGTCGTTAATGTGTTGAACTTAAACTCTTTTTCCTATTAATTTCTACTGAACGGACACAACTACGCCATTTATGTTATAAAGGTTATGGGGAAATTTACATATCATCACTCAAAGAATCAACCTCTAAATACGAACAGGGTTATAACTAAGGAAAAGAAATCCAAAATAATCTCAGAAATTCCTACAAATTTGATGTAATATTATATACAAAGACACTAGATATTATGTAACGCTCTCCTCAAATCGATCATAGATGTTAATTATGTCCAGCTTTATATAAAGATATTTCACTCATGCTTCATTTTCAACTTTCATAAACATACACCTAGTTACTCTCTTGACTTAATCTTCGTCGGATGAATCCCTGACATACTGCTGGCTCCGCCCTTTGTTAGTCCTTACTTAGAAATAATAAAATTAAAGTTATAAGCAAACAGTTGTGTCCAACATCTCAATAGACACTTCTTTTGATCCAGGCCACCACCCTTACTGGTTGGTCATAACTAGCACCCCTCTTTGGTCTAGTCCACCACTATTGGCATCCTACGTAGATATTACTTTGAGTCATGGCTTCAAGCGCTAATAAATCTACTCTAATACAATTTTTTATTGACTGGATAAGACACTCCCTCTCTATGAATTCTGCCATTGATGCTTGGTGCGTGCTCCAAAGCTTTGAGATTGAACACCGATCACTGAACTTGATATGGTATCAATGCCACTTTTGATACTTAAAGTTTTTAACTCTAGCTACCTCTAGTTTAGAAATAAAATAAAGTAAGAATATAGCTTCTCACTCTCTTAAGGAAGGTGTATTTCACTCTTTCTGCCACATAAACATATATATGGGCATCTATTCCACTTTAAAATAATATAAGGGGTTCATACGATCCTCCCAAAATTAAAGTGTATAACACCAATTTTGATTGATGTTTGAGTGGTTTTTAAGTTGTTTCCCAAATATATTTGATATTAAGATTTTAGATATTAAACTAGTTGTAAATGAAGAGGTTAAGAATATATATTCCTCATCTTCTATTTTATAATTATTAAGAAGAGTGAAATTCAAAATATAATATGATATTCATGTGTTATTATTTGTACAGAATAAAAAAGAGTATTACACATTGAATAAATAAAAACTGATCGACACTTGACCCCTACAAAAAATGAATGATGTGCTTATTTACATTATACAAATATCGTATATTATATAATTTAAATAATGAAGGATTTAGTGCACCAAATATTTAAAGTATACTATTTATTTTCTTTCCTTTTTTGGATGGTATTTAACAAAAAAATTTGACAAGATCTTCAAATATTTTCCATTTCCAAAAAAAAAGGCTCAAAATAATTTTTTTCAAAAAATAAATTTCAAGTTTAAATTTTAAAATCTATTGCCAAATGAGAGATTAATTATTTAAACTTTATTCCAAGAAGTAAAAGGTTTTATATTTATAATTTTTATTGTAAACTCGTGCTGATGAATTGATTGTCTTTTTTATTATTTTCTTTTAAATAATTAAATTTATGTTGTGTGAAGGTATTTTTCAGTATTTTATATCTTATTAGGGTAAATAATGAAGGAGTACTAATTGAGTAAGGAAGGAGTTAATATAAAAATAAATATTAAAGTACTATATAGTCAAACTACGTACAGTAGAAAAACATAATATCATACTTATTTGTACTTATAACTATAATTGACAATACAAATATTTAATTAAAATATTTTCCCCTTTTGATTATTTATTCAAATATAAAGTTTTGAACAAAAGTAATTGTTATATATTTTTGTATGAGTTGTGACATTAATTCTTCCAACTTCATTACTCCAATGGATTATTTTGAAAGCTTGTCAGAAGGTTGCAAATTTGAAATCATTTAAAAAACAACTCCAGCAGATGAAGTAAGATCAATAATTTTATCCAAAGTATTCAAATTTGTTGCTGAATCAGATGAAATTTGGAGAAGATTTTTGCCCCATGATTATCAAGAAATAATTGATAGATCTAAGTTTCCTCTTGTTTGCAACACCAAAAAGGAGCTCTTTTCCGTTTGTGTGATTCTCCCATTCTCCTTTATGGAGGCAAACTGGTAAAATTTCATTTTGATGTGGTTATTTTTTTTATGATTTTAGTTATTTTTCTATTTAATATTGATAGTGTGTACATACCTAAATTGTTTATCGATACATGCTACCTCTCACATGAGGCAAAATCAATATTTAATCTTTATGGATTAAATTTCTATGCTCGTAATATTTAACTTGTTATTTTTAATGTTGTGGGTTCATATCTACTAGTTGTTATATTTATCATGATTTTTTACACATAAATTAATGCGTTGATATGGAAGTACTGGATTAAGATGAATCCTTAATTAATATCTTCATATGTTTCTACCTCTCATCAACACATGCACCAGATAGTGACGGAATAAAAAATTCATGTATAGAGATTAAAAAAAATACAAGGTGTCACACCTAGGGTTTAAACTTAGAAGCTAAAATAATTTATGAACTCTCTTTGTTACTAAACTAGAAATTTTCCTTATCTTAAGTGAATTAGATAGTCCATATATAATTTTAAATAATCATTTAACCCTATTTGCGTCACTCTAATATCAAGCAAGGTTTGATCTATTTTCCATCCTCTAGCTCTTCTCCTAATACCAAAGTACTCGGATAACTCAAGTTGGTTAAAAGAAATGACCACCTGGTATTTTATTTTTTATATTCACCAAAATTTAAAATGTAATCTCTTATAATTTTTTGTTCAATTCATTGATTTCCATACTTATCACATTTGATGTTTATTTTATACTCATTTTGTTGGGTAGGGGGTAATACAATTCCCATTTTTTATTCCGTTTCTCTCTCCAAAGATTAGGTTATTCAAATTGAACAATGTGCCCTTTGATTGCTTGCTATCTATTATGTTCTATTGTATCATATTTTATTTTAATTACAATATTTATATTGATTGTTACTTAAATTTTATTCTATTATATCAGTAAATACATCATTATAAAAAGATGTAAGTCTCAAGTTTTATAATGAATAATTTGATGTGCTGTGTTTCTTTACTATATTTTCATTTTCTTATTACTTTATAATCCTATTTTATCAAAGTCTATACTCTTTTTATATAAGAACTTTACCACGTGTGCTATTTTTCTTTATAATATTGTAGGTTTATAATCTTCAATTGTTGATATGTGACATAACATGGAAAACAATCTATCCAAACATTATTTCATTAAAAGAATACAATGTGATACATTGTGAAACTATATTTGTGTAGTAAGCATCCAAACAAGTAAGATGAAAACGCTTGGAAATGAAAAAAAAAATACTATGAAATGCTTTCTTTGATCTTACATGGTGTAAATTTAGATTAATCAAACTGAAATTTTATTTTTTCTATTTCAGAGTTTTTTTCTTGATAAGCATAGTGGAAAGAAGTGTTTTATAATAGCACCGAGAGAGCTCATAATTTTAGATAGTGATGATGCATTCTCTTGGCAATGGGGTGCACGCCGCGATTCCAGGTTCATCTCTTTTCATTTTCTTTGTTTGATCTACAACTTCATTGATTTACAAATGCGTTTTCTTCGAGAGGTTTTATTCAACAAAGTAGTTTTCTTTCCTTCCTCTTCTCTTTACACTGACTTCTCTCTCTCTATGAATTTTTTCATTGATGCTTGGTGCTCCAAAGCTTGGAAACCAAACACCAATCAATTAACTTGATAGATAGCATATAATAAAATATTACAAGTTAGCCCATAGTTATATAAGAACCTAAATAGTAGCAATTGGTAAAAAAAAAACAACTTTTTTAATTGAAAAAAAAATTATCTGGACATTATTGGTGAAGCTGACCAAAATATAACAGTAAAATAGAGTCCATTGTTGTGGACAAAAAGGAAAAGAATCAATGATTTGACACTTTGATGTCTTACTTTTATAAATTACAAACTAAAAGCTACGCATAAATGCTATTGTAACAGTAGAAACTTAAAGGACAAGCAAATAAATATTAGAATGTGAAAGATGATATTACCTTCATTTAGGTGTAGCGTAGGATAATTATTACCTTTATTTTAATATGCACTGAATCAAACATTATGATAATTTGGTATGGATACAAAAATATCATAAATTACATTATGTATTCTATATGCATATTCATATTGGGTAGATGAAGAGACTAGCTGTTAATCATGACTCCAAAACTGATAATGGCTCAACTTGGAAACTTTGCAAAGATAATGAATTGGGATAGGAGATGTTAGATTAGTATAACAACTAAGAGCAAATATTAACATCAAAGAATGTGGGGCAATGGATGGGGTTGCTCCTCTCCAAACTAAAAGTTATGGTCGTTTGAAGTTGACCAAAAACTCAACTTTAACACATTTA